TATGAAATTCCATTAAACATCTTGTAATCCTGGATTTAATTTCATCCACCGGTTATTCACAAGACTGGAATATGGCAAGCCAAGCCTGCCCTCTCTGCATGTTGTAATGTCCTGTCCTGGTGCTGAGAGGCTTCTCTCTTTAGATATTTTCTTGACTGTCCCTAGGTTGGCCTATTCACTCTGCCTGCTTCTTTTCATATTGAAGCATCCAGTGTGAATTCTCAGGATTTTGTTAACTTTGATTCCTCAGAAAGTCTTCTGGAAGTTGGGGTAGTGTTGGGCACATTGCCATAGTACCTAGATTTCCAGAATTTTCTCTTTCTTTTCTTTGAAAGCATGCTGTGAAAGTTGTAGCATAAAGTTGGTATTCACTCTACTTACTGATGATGTATTTAAATTTTTGCTTTTTCTTAAAAACAGTTTTTTGTTCTTTTTATTAGTTATTGGTGGTAGGAGCTTCTGAGATACTGCTTCACTATACCAAATTTATCCCCAAATTCCAATAATGACTTTTTTTTTTTACAATTTTCACATCTTCCTCTGACATTTGGTATTATGAATATCTTCTTTTTTATCCTGGCATCTATAACTCTACCAAACCTCTTTTATTTTTTCTTTAAAGGAGCTCCATATTCTCATTCTTCCAATTCTATTGGTATTGTCAACATTTCTTATTAAAGCCTTGAAGTTGTCTTTGGATCATCTGTCTCTCTTTTGTTCCCTAAATTTATACACCACATCAAAGATCTTTCTTCTTAATTCTCACTGATACTGTCAATTATAGATTCTCATTTTTCAAGTTATATATTGCTATGACTTATTCATTTGTCTTATGTCTCATTTTTTCCCCTCTCTTCAAGCTATTTTATCCCTAGCTTTCAGATTAAAATCTATCTCTATGTCCCTCTTTCTCTTTTTATTGCTGTAACATACAGATAGAAAAGTACATGAATCACAGGTGCTCAGCTTGATGAAATTTCACAAATTGAACATACTTATGCAACTAGCACCAGTAAATTAGTCACTAAAAAAATCACATTCATGATCATGTTATTTTGCCTTAAAAACCAATTAATTCAAGGAGTTTGATCCTTATTAGTTTCCTGAACAATGGAATAGCAGATAAACTCGTATGGCATCTCCCACTGCTTGCCACATATAGCTTGATTTTGGAGACATTTTTTTCTTTGCTTTACCTCGTATTACCTCTCTCTTTTTTTTTTTTTTTTTTTTTTGTACCATACTGCTCCTACTTCCTGGAATACATTTCCTCTTTGACTTTTTATAATCTAAATCATGGTCATTTTCCACCCCTAATCTCAAATCTTGCCATTTCTAGAAGACTTTTCTGGGCTGGTTTAGCTTTCATTATTTTTTTTTTCTCTTCAAAAATTCTTTAATTTATTTTTTGAATAGGTAGTATCAATGCATTCACTTAGCACAAAATTTAAATGTACAAAGGGTATATAATGAAAAGTCCCTCTCCCACTCCAGTGTCCCAGCCACTATGTGTTCTTCAGGAAATATTTTTTGTACTTATAAGGAAAATTAATTTCTATCATTCCTCCTCTTTTTTATACAATGTAAGCATACCAAGTTCTGTGTCTCACTTTTTTCAGTTAGAAGTTTTTAATGATAGTTCCTGATCAATACACAAAAGATTTTCTCATTTTTTACTAGGACTGAGTGATATTCCACTGAATGAATGTACCGCGATCAGATCTACCACGTATGATTGTGAAGGTTGGACACTGAACACATTCAGATAGACTGTGATTTGAATGGCACTCCCTAGAATTATTCAGTTACAATCAGATGCAGCAGCCTTGATTGTAATTTACCTAGTCAGTTCCTTTTGATGGATATTTCTGGTTTCTTTTGTATTGTTATCTCAAACACTACTGAAACAAATAGTCTTATTTATGTCATTTGTCTGTAGGATATCATTCCCTTAATTCCTAAAGTATTTATAATCTCTACCAATTTAACAATTAGACAAGGTCTTAATTTATTATGGGGTTGTTTTTAAAATTTTTATCATTTGACATTCCTTAAGGAGTGGTACCATAAATGAAATTATTTTCTATTTCTAGACCTAGAATACTGGTGTGTATAAGTACACCTTTAGGATGGGCTGGAGGGTTTCTCTTACAGCTCCCAGGTTCTATTTCGTTTTTTATCCTTTTGAGCTCTTCATAATCCTTTTGAAGTTCCTGGTAATGGAAGAAAAAAATAAAATCAAAGTTTAGATCAGGTATAAATAGGTATATTTAGAAGCAGAAGTGATATTTATCCCAAGTTATGGAATAAAATGAACCACAATCTCAGATACAGTTTTTAATGAAAGGAAAATGTTTCACATTTCTTTGGCCTCAAAAATTATTCTTTATTTTTCCATTGAAAACATGGGATGAGATAGAATGTATCTTCACTGAGACTTAGATGAACTCTAGGTAAAATAACAGAAAAATGTTCATTGTAAATTTTTGTATCCTATAAAGATACAGTGTATCAAAGTAAAAATTTTAAGGCTACTACATCCAAAGTGAAAAAACTGGAATTATCCTACTCCATATTAAAGTGAATAAGTCAATTACTTTTTATTGACTTAATTATGTTAAGGTCCATTTGGTGTCCTGGTTGCTACTTTGGGAACTTTGATGAAGTGCAGTTTTCCACAACCTTTTTTCTCTTCTCTACTTATTTGATAGATCATAAAACTGGCCAGTTTTCTGTTCTGAAAAATTGTAATTTGTTCTCTATTTGGAAAACCCACATTTTTACTATCTCTTTAGATGTTACCCCTGAGGTTAGAAATGTAAACCTCTTCTCATTTTTCTCTATAGCTTAGAGGATCTCAGATGAATTAACAAGAAAGTGACTTCTGGTATGGATAAGCCAGAACTAAAAATAAGAGGTGTGTTTCTTCATTTCTTCTAATGGGCCCTGAAAGATTCATTGCCTGAAATTTTAGGAGTCTGGAGAGCAAAATAAATGCTATCATAGTGTTCAGGATTTATAGCAAACAAGCAGGATATTTTGGGGAAATTTCTGAGAACTGACCTTTAGGTGATCATAAGTGATACTGTAGTGATTTTTTAAGCAACTTTATTGAGATATAACTCATATACTGAAGAATTCACCCACTTAAACTGTATAGTTCACTGGTTTTTATTTTGTTCACAGAGTTGTGCAACCACCACCACAATCAATTTTAGAACAGTTTCATTGCCCCAAAATGAAATCCAATATCCACTGGCAATTACTCCTCATTTCTTCCCAAATTTGCAGCCGCAGGCAACTACTAATCTACTTTATATCTGTACAATTTGGGTATTTCATATAAAGAGATCATATAAAGAGATCATTGTGTCTAGGTTTCTTTTACTTAGCATAATGTTTACAAGGTTCATCCATATTGTAGCTTCTATCAGTACTTTTTTCCTTTTCATTGCTAATATTATGTTGTATGTAGATATCATGTTTTATTTATCCATTCAGTAGTTGATGGATATTTGGATTATTTGCACACTGTAGCTATTAATGAATAATTCTGCTGGAACATTGATGTACAAGTTTTGTGTGGGCATATGTTTTCATTCCTCTTGGATATATACCCAAGAGTGGAATTTCTGGGTCATATCATAGCTCTATGTTTAACTTTGAGAAACAGCCCCATGTTACATTTCCACCAGCAGTATATGAGGGTTCTAATTTCTTCACCATCTCCAACACTTGATATTATCTGTCTTTTGATTGAAGACATTGTAGTGGTGTGATACAGTATCTCATTGTGTTTTTTTTTTTTTTAAAGATTTTATTTATTTATTTGAGACAGAGAGAATGAGAGAGAGAGAGCACATGAGAGGGGGGAGGGTCAGAGGGAGAAGCAGACTCCCTGCCGAGCAGGGAGCCCGATGCGGGACTCGATCCCGGGACTCCAGGATCATGACCTGAGCCGAAGGCAGTCGCTTAACCAACTGAGCCACCCAGGCGCCCTCATTGTGGTTTTGATTGGTATTTTCCTAATGGCTAATGATATTGAACCTCTTTTCATGTGCTTATTGGACATTTGTAGCTTTTGTTTGGAGAAGTTTCTATTGCCCATTTTAATTGGTTTATTTGTCTTTTTATTATTGAGTTGTAAAAATTCTTTATATATTCCAGAAGGAAGTTCCTTATCAAATAAGTATTTGCAAATATTTTCTCCCATTCTGTGCTCTTTTCACTTTCTTAATGATGACCTTTGAAGTATAGAAGTTTTAAATTTTGATTAAATTCAATTTATGTATTTTAATTTTGTTGCTTTTGCTTATGGTGTCTTATCTAAGAAACTGTTTCCTGAGCCATGGTCACAAAGATTTACTACTGTGTTTTCCTTTGAGAGTTTTATAGTTTTAGCTCTGATATTGCTGAGGATTGCTTTCTTAACAATATTAAGCCTTTTGCATCCATTAACATGAGTCTTTCCATTTATTTGGGTCTTCCTTAATTTCTTTCAACAATATTTTATAGTTTCAAGAGCACAGGTTTTTAACTTATTTTATAAAACTTATCCCTAAATATTTTAGTCTTTTCGATGCAGTCATATATAGGAATTGTTTTTTAATTTCATTTTCAGATTGATCATTGCTAGTGTATAGAAATATAATTGATTTTTGTATATTGATCTTGTTAATGCTAATACTTCTTTTTTATTACATTCCTTAGGATTTTGTATATACAATCTCATGTCCTCTGCAAATAAATATAGTTTCACTTCTTTCTTTTTCAATTACCATGGAAATTATTTCAATTATCTCATTGTAATGGCTAGAACCTCCTGTACAATGTTCAGTAGAAGTGGAGAGAGTGGACATCCTCATCTTGTTCCTGATATTTCAGTGAAAGCATTCAGTTGTAGTGATTTTTTTTTTTTTACCCTATAAAGAATAGGCCATAACTTTCCTTTGAACACAAATTTCCTTTTGACTTTTTTTCCCTTCTGTTTACATACACAGATATGTGCTGATTAGAAGGCTCACAGCGCAGTGTGGAGGATAAGACAGTGCCTTACAAAATGGGGTTTGGGAGTGACCTGAAGAATTCACATGAAGCTGTGCTAAAATTGCAAGACTGGGAATTACGGTTACTGGAAACAGTGAAGAAATTTATGGCCCTGAGAATAAAAAGTGATAAAGAATATGCATCTACTTTACAGAACCTTTGTAATCAAGTTGATAAGGAAAGTACTGTTCAAATGAATTATGTCAGCAATGTATCCAAGGTAAGGAGAATAATTTCATTATTTATTGTGTATAGCATCATAATTGTGCTTAGGGCAAATAGATCATGCTGTTGAGGGAGCATCCCCAAATTAGCATTCTAAAGCAGTGGTTCCAAAATCTTGCTGATTAGCAGAATCTCATGGGGGAAAGTTTCAAAAATTACACATTTTGTGCACTACCTCCTGAATCTGAGTTAGTAGGTCTGAAATTTTTGAATTTTGAAATTAAAAATTGATGTCTAGATTATTGTAATGATTTTGGTTTGAGAGCCATTTTTACAAATTTTGTTTTCTTCATTACCCTATTTCCTTGGGTGTCTTGAGATCTGCTATTTTCTTTTGACACAAACTTTCATCATAACCCACCTTCCCTGAATTCTTCTGTGAATCATTTGTGTAGTGAATCACATGGATTATTTTAACACATAGTGTTCTTTGCTGTCATTCATCTTACTAAAATAATAATATACTGCTGAGTTAATCACACTAAAAAATTCTTTGGATAAACAATATGTTTTTTTAACTCTAAGATTATAAAAATATAATATAAACTTTAAAATTAAGCGCCATTAAAAATAATGGCCAAATTGCACTGTTAATTGCTGTTGGAAGGCATTAAAGATGAAATATTACACACCTTAATCGTTCTTAGATTTCTGCTCTATTTCCATTGTATTACTTAACTATCATATTTCGCTATACTTATTCAAAGTAAGGGAAGATCTTCCTTGTTTTACTTTGGAAAGTTAAAAAAAATTAGTGCGTTTCTTTTACTAATATTTCTTAGGATTTGAGTAAATTGTAGAGGAAATTGTTTCCGATGGAATGTGTGTGTGGTGTGTATGATCAGCTAAGGATCTGTGATTTCATTGAGAACTCCTTAATGTTAATATCTTTAACTTCCTTCCCTAGGCTAGTCAGGTTCCCCAAAAAGGAATTCTCTAGTCTCTAGTCTGAAGATGGGGTTGCCAGACATAGCAAATAAAAATGTAGGACACCAGTTAAATTTTGCATGTGATATTTGGGACACACATACACTAAAAATTATTTTTTATCTGAAATTCAGATTTAACTTGTCCTGTGTTTGGTTGACTACTCTGTTATGTTATGAGAATTGATAGGGAAAGTAGGTTGAGTGTTCTAAGAGTTATACTTTAGTTAATCTTCCTGTTTTTGGTAAGCTGCCTAATGTCTCTTAGTCCAAAGGCTCTCTGGTTTATTTTTTCCTCTTGTTTTCTTCTGAGTTGGGGGCAGAACAGTTGCGTGTTTGTGTGGGCTGAGCAATAGAAATGAGAGTTCTGTCTGCTCCTTATATAGACTTTGAATCTATTCCTCTGTTTCAGTATCGTCTCAGCTTCTTTCATATAGGTTTCTCCAGTTTCTGAGCTTTACTGGAGTTATAGGTCTGACCCTATAAATTGGCCTTTTCTTCTTTTTTTATTGAGAAATAATTGACATACATGCGTTCCTGTATAAGTTTAAGTTACATAGCATGATGGTTTGTTTCACACATATTGTGAAATTATTACTACAGTAGGTTTAGTTAACATCTATCATCTCATGTAGATAAAATAAAAAGAAAAGAAAAAAATCCTTTTTGTGATGACAACTCTTAGGATCTACCCTCTTCAGTTTTCTATATATCATACAGCAATGTTAATTATAACCATCATGTTGTACGTTACACATCTAGTACTTATTGATCTTTTAAGTAGAAATTTGTACCTTTTGACCACCATCTTCCCCTACATGGCCTTTTCTTCTTCTTCTTTTTTTTTTTAATTCTTATGTTAATCCCCATACATTACATCATTAGTTTTAGATGTAGTGTTCCATGATTCATTGTTTGTGCATAACACCCAGTGCTCCATGCAGAATGTGCCCTCCTCAATACCCATCACCAGGCTAACCCATCCTCCCACCCCCCTCCCCTCTAGAACCCTCAGTTTGTTTTTCAGAGTCCATCGTCTCTCATGGTTCATCTACCCCTCCGATTTCCCCCACTTCATTCTTCCCCTCCCGCTACCTTCTTCTTCTTTTTTTTTTTCTTAACATATATTGCATTATTTGTTTCAGAGGTACAGATCTGAGATTCAACAGTCTTGCACAATTCACAGCACTTACCAGAGCACATACCCTCCCCAGTGTCTATCACCCAGTCACCCCATCCCCCCCACCCCACCCCCCACTCCAGCAACCCTCAGTTTGTTTCCTGCAATTAAGAATTCCTCATATCAGTGAGATCATATGATGCATGTCTTTCTCTGTTTGACTTATTTCGCTCAGCATAATACCCTCCAGTTCCATCCACGTCGTTGCAAATGGCAAGATCTCATTCCTTTTGATGGCTGCATAATATTCCATTGTATATATATACCACATCTTCTTTATCCATTCATCTGTCGAAAGACATCTTGGCTCTTTCCACAGTTTGGCTATTGTGGGCATTGCTGCTATAAACATCGGGGTGCACATACCCTTTCGGATCCCTACTTTTGTATCTTTGTGGTAAATACCCAGTAGTGCAATTGCTGGATCATATGGTAGCTCTATTTTCAACTTTTTGAGGAACCTCCATACTGTTTTCCAGAGTGGCTGCACCAGCTTGCATTCCCACCAACAGCGTAGGAGGGTTCCCCTTTCTCCGCATCCCCGCCAACATCTGTCATTTCCTGACTTGTTAATTTTAGCCATTCTGACTGGTTTGAGGTGGTATCTCATTGAGGTTTTGATTTGGATTTCCCTGATGCATGGCCTTTTCTTCTTGATCTACCTTTTGCAGAGCACTTATGTTTCAACATTTCTTGATATGCTAATCAATTACCATTTACCTACTTTTCATTTTCTTATGTTTTGTTGACATGTCTTATCTGTGGTTGTCCCCTTTTCTATTTTCTTTGTTATTGTGAATTTATACTTTAAGTAACTACATTATATTTTAGTGGGATTTTGGGAAGAAGTGGAGAAATAGCCATGTGTTCTATTTACCATGTTTAAGTGGAATTATACTCTTTTTTTTTTTTAAGATTTTATTTATTTATTAGAGAGAGAGCACAAGCAGGGAGAGTGGCCGGCAGAGAGAGAAGCAGGCCTCCCGCCGAGCAGGGAGCCCGATGTGGGACTCAGTCCCAGGACCCTGGGATCATGACCTGAGCCGAAGGCAGCCGCTTAACCGACTGGGCCACCCAGGCGCCCCTGGAATTAAACTCTTGAGAAAAGTAAGATAGTGAAAGTAACAAGAAGTAGGATTAGTAGGTATAGAAGATCGAAGATTTGTGAGGTCAGGCCAGTGGAGGAATCATCAGTGTACACACTAAAGTGTCAAGTATTTTGGTAAGGGATAGATGGAGACAAATGCTAAAATAATTAAGGAAGTCAGGAGAGTTTTTGGATTGCAAAGGGGTTTAGGGAAAGTGATAAAGATTGGGAGGGATGGTTTAAATGGGCAGGATTGCCCTTCAAAGAGGAAATGTTGAGAGGTAACAGTGAACAATGGTTGGAAACCCGAAGAAAAACAAGGAATATGTCAGCCTTTCCTCTTAACACTGAAAAGTCATCATTTATTCTACCTAAAAAAAGTCCAGTATATCAATTTTTTTCTTTAGGGTATTGTGTTTTTGGTGTTGCATCTAAAAAAAACCCCACTGTTGCCTGACCTAAATTTGCTGAGTTTCTCCTTTGTTTGCACCTGGAAGTTTTATAGTTTTGCTTTATATTTAGGTTTATGATCCATTTTTAGTTAATTTTTATATAGGGGGCAAGGTATGATCAAAGTTTTTTTGCAAACAGATATCCATTTGTTCTAGCAACATTTGTTGAAAAGATTAAGCTTTCTCCTTTGCATTTTTGTTGAAAATCAGTTGACCATTATTTGTAAGCCTATTTCTACACACTTTATTTTGTTCCACTTGTGTTTTTGTCTGCCCTGACACCAATAACACACTTTTTATTTCGCTGTTTTATAATAATCACAAAGTCAGTAGTGTAATTTTTCTGTTCTTTTTTTTTCTTTCAAAATACTTTTGGCTATTTTAGTTCCTTTGCACTTCCGTATGAATTTTATTTATTTATTTATTTAAGATTTTATTTATTCATGAGAGACAGAGAGGCAGAGGCAGAGGCAGAAGCAGGCTCCCCACTGAGCAAGGAGACCAATTCGGGACCCGATTCCAGGACCCTGGGATCATGACCTGAGCTGAAGGCAGACGCTTAACCGACTGAGCCACCCAGGCATCCCCATATGAATTATAGAATTAGCTCGTCAATTTCTATTTTAAAAAGGCTACTGGATTATGGTTGGAATGCACTGACTATATAGATAAATTTGGGGAAAACATGTATCTTAACAGTATTGGATCTTCCAGTCCATAAACATGGTATATATTTTCTTTAATTTTTCTGAGTAGTCTTCCAGTTTTCAGTGTACAGGACTTTCAGATTTATGTGTATTTTGTATTTTTTGATACTCTTGTAAATAGTATTTTTTCAAAATTTTAGTTTCCCACTGTTCATAATTATTTTGTATACTAATCTCGTAACCTAAACTTCGTGAAACTTGCTTATTTGTAGCTTTTTTGTAGATTGCTTTGGATTTTCTACACAGGTGATTATGTCTTCTGCAAACAAAGACAATTTTCCTTCTTTTTCATTTGGATGTCTTTTATTTGCTTTTCTTTCATTTTTGCACTGGCTAGAATCTCTAGCACAAACCTGAATGGAAGTATAGACAACAGATATCCATGTCTTGTTGCTAATCTTAGGGGAAACACATTTAGTCTTTCATCATTAAGTATGCTGTTAGCTGTGAGTTTTTTGTAGATATCTTTTATAAGCTTGTGGAAGCTTCTACTCCTACTTAGCTGAGAGTTTTTTTCATGCACTGATGTTGGGGTTTTGTCAAGGGGTTTATCTTTTTCTGCTTAGATGATTGTGTTGTTTTTTTCTTTTCAGCTTGATAATACATTCAGATGTACTCATTGATTTTCAGATGTTTCAAATGT